TGTAACAATTGTGAGCTCTACTGTACATCACGTATTCACTCCAGAACATCTTTTCGAATAGACTTGGGTGCGGACACCAAATTTGGAAATCTGTTTTCTCCCCAAAAAGCACAAAAGGCTTTCGTGTGATAGCGCCCTAAGAACATTTTGTCTGATGTGTATATGTGTAGGTCTTGCTGTGGTTGAGGGAGCTGATAATAGATTGCCTGGCAGCTGGTTTGAGCGCTTCAGTCCTGCCCATGGTATTATTTGAGTTAAGCCGTCTCCCTGGAGAAATCACTTCTGCTCTTCATAAAATGCTCTGTCTAACCTCTACTTCAGCACTACCCGGAGATGTTTAAGAATTTCACCATGCTTTCTGTCCAGCTGTGATAGTGATAGTGATATGTGATAGTATCCCTGATTGCCGGCTTGTGTTCAGTCAGACGTCTGTGTTTGTGTGTGTATTTATGTGTCTGTTATGGAACACTATATGTGGAACAGCTGCAAAATGGGTCAAGAGGGTGTTTACATCAAGATGCATCTGAAACTTGCATGCCATAGGCAAAGTGATGAAGAAAACAAGACCACTCTACAGTTTTCGCTGCTCTAAAAAAAGTAGCGTATGCTCTTATTCCTGAGATTTTATTAACCATAGTAGCAATGATGGGATGAACTTGACCTGTTGTTCTAGTATTGTTATTGACCATGTAATTGAAAGATAGTGGTTAAATCATTAAGGGTTTGTGACTTCTGACCTTGTGCTTAAAGTTTGAAGATCAAAGAACTTTCATCACTTTCATCTTATCACACTACGATTGCAATTCTTACGTTTTAAATGAGTTAAACAACTAATTAAAACGCAGACAAACTAACATCATTCCAATTTGTAAAAAGTAAAAAAAAAGAAGTTTATCTTCAGTCTGAATCTGACTTTTTAATATTGTTAATTTTAATACTTAATTATTAATGAAGTGTTAAAAAAAAGCTCCCAGAAAACTTAACTGAACTTAATTAAACTGAGTGCTAATTTCTAAACTATATTACCACAAATGTTAAAATAAACACTGTCAGCTTGGTGGGAGCAATATTATGATTTTTAACAGATACTTAACTGTTAAAATGTGCCATTATATTAGATATTTTGTGAATTTGAGGGCATCGGGTGGACTATAGTACATGTTTCTCCAGTTCTAAGTGTATACACTGTATTATTAGTATTACTGAAATAAATTAAATATATATTAATATTTTTTTCAGTTAACACTGGACAAATACTTACTATTAGCTATCATGTAGATCACTAGCATATTGGCTGTTTATTATTAGTACTTATAAGTATTAGTACTAGTACTTTTAAATAAATAATAAGTACTTATCACATATAATAGGAGTTTATTGAGGCAAAAGTGTAACCATTCTTCTTTGTATAGCAAAATATTATATGTTAATTAATCTAAATGATAAAAATAATGGATATATAAAGTGATAATATAATAAATATCAATATTTAAATATTGCACATAATCTTACTTTTCAAACGATTCTGTTTTCAGAATTGGATCTCTTTTAAAAGTTCCTCATTAATATGCTTAAGCAGACACTATTTCTCTCCTAATTCCTCATGCATTGAATGTGATTTATATGAAACACATGTGATTTTGGCGTTTCTTGTTTTACCCCATCAGTGGAATGAAACGTGGAATCGGCCAAACACACGGTGAAACTGAATACAAATGCTGATGGCTGAGGCCTGACCATACATTTCAAATAGTTGTGCATGGTCATGCATTTTTGCTGGCTAGTTTTCTAGCCTGTGGTTTGGCAGGAGTCGTGTAGGACTGATGTCTCTGAAGGTGACTGCTCCATACAATTTATCAATCCAAACACCCATTTGTGGCGTGTAGAACCAGACGCCTATCAAGTGATTCAGCGTGTCTCTTGGATGTAAATGGCAATGACAGGGCAATGGGAGGGCTTTGATAAGTACACGAATGAGTGAATGAACTAGTGAGTGAGTGAGTGGATGAATAAAGGGATGTATTGAAAGAGTTAACAAATGACTTGAGTAATGATTTAATGATTTTGAAAGAGTGATTGAAAGAATGAGTGAGCCAGGGTTATCTAAACCAATAAAAAAAAAATCAGTAAAGATGAAATAAAATAAAATAAAATATAAATTGTAAATGTAAAGATGCGAAATAGCTGAAGCTGAAGTACTACAACTACTAACTGAAAATAAATAAAAACTATAACTAAACAAAAGCTAAAACTGAAATAAAATACATTAAACATAAATAGTAACATTTAAAAAAAGCACATAAGAAAAGTAATAAAAAATAACCTAAAAATGAAATGAAAACTGAAAATAGCTAATGCAAAGCAACTAAAACTATAACTGAATTAAACATTAAACATAGATAGTAATATTAAAATAAAAAAGAGAAATATCAAAAGCATATAACAAAATTACAAAAAAAAAATTTAACTGAAAATATATATACAAAATGCAAAGTAACTAAAAAGCATCCTTAAGTAATAAAAAAGCATACATAGTAAAATTAAAATCATAATAAAAAAATATCAAAAGCATGTAAAAATGCTAACAATTAACCTATAAAATAAAACAAAAACTGAAAAATACATATAAAAGCATATGCTATATTTGAATAAAAGCTATAATAATCAGTGTGTATGTGAAATTATGTGATTGCTTAATATATGTATTTTAATAGACTGACTGACTGACTGACTGACTGTGAGTGAATGAATGAATCTCATCATCATTTCTGTTCACTTACTTAACTGTCACTCACATTTTTGAACATAGACGTGAAAGTGCACGATCCAAACTTAAATTTTTATAATTCATGAACGAAAACATTTTGTAACATGACATTGATGTACCATTTTCATGGTAATGCAATGTTTGATTTTAAAATGGGTTTCAAAGGATGAATTTTCAGATTTAAAGTTTTCATTTGATTTATAATTTCTGATGATTTCTAAAGTGTGATCGAGAAAAAGGCAACAAAAAATACTTTTTTTGACAAAGGTCAGAACTCCTGTTATGATGTAGATTTTTGAGGTGCACTCTTGTCAAAAATTAATCTATTACTTTTCCTACATAATTTTGAACAAAAACATTGGTAAAATATCTATTTAGGAGTCTTAGACCTTTCCAACGATATATAGTTTGTCATGATTAGATTAGGATTTAATTGTAATATAGTGAAGTAAACTTAGGCGTCCCACAGAGGGGACGGGTGACAGTTAAAGGGTTAATGAGTAGATTT